CGACCATGGTAAAACCATCTCACTTGGTTTAAGCATTGAGGAGGGTGTTGAAGGATAAGCATTATCTTTCAGGAGTATGACTCCTAGGAGGACTCTACATGGAGGAGTAAGAGTCCAACTAGGATTGTGCCACGCGGAACCTATAAAAGCTCACAACATCACCTATGGAGAGGTAACACAACTTTGATTTTCGAATACACAGAGCTTTTGTCTATTTGTCTATTTTGCTGACTTAGGCATCGGAGAGGTATCCGACATACACCCGTCGGCTAGCTCACGTTTGTGTTTTCAGGGAGTAAAGCAACGACGTACGGAGGAACGCAAACTTGATCAACAGGATTATACGAGAAGGTTTATTTCTTTCCCGTACAATAGTCAAACAAAGAACCTGAGAACAAGAAGAGAGAGACCACAATAACGGAGAGAGGGTACAAATATATAAGATATAGATGGTGTTTTGTTGGTTGATTTGATTGCAAGCAAACGTACCTCGGTTGCTTATTATTCTCTGTTGTTGTCGGCGATAAAGTCAATTAAAAGAATCAAGATTCGCCAAAGACGATAGGTCGTGGTTCTTAATTTTTTGTTTGTGGACATGGATAAGTCCATAAAGATTATAACCCACCATTTAGAACTCAATACATAACTCAAATATTAAAATTCAGTATTGCTGAAGCCCCACGTAGCAATAAGAACCAATGACAGCAAGACACATGGTAAGAGAAGGGCAAGCCACATAAGCAGACAAAGATCTGCAAAGTTATTATCACTGCACATCGCCATTAATGAAACCCCTTACAACATTTATTGCGATAACCCCTCTCCGTCGAGACAGAACGCCTTCAGCATGAACAAGGTAAGCTAGAGCATAGACTTTCGGCCAAGGTGACAAGTCGGAAGGGACAATGAAATGATTACCGGAGGATATAAGCAGACGTCGAAGACAAGAAGAAGGTTAAGCTTTTCTATCTCTAATTCATCTCTACATTTCGCTTCTCTCTCTAACTTGCTCGTCGGAGGGTTCGCTGGGGGACTCCCCGTTCCCTGTTGAACTCGTGTGTAGGTCTTCTAGTGGGCTTGATCACTTGGACACCGGTTTGAGAAGCGTGGATCAGCCCGACTCGTTCTATCTGGAACCCGCTGTATCATCATTCGTAAATTTCGATTTGATCTTCTCTTTCTTGTTGTGATTGTTGATATATTCTATTTTTATTGTTAATAACCTGTTTAAAATAGACAATAATATATTATTGTTTATGTGAATTTTAACGGTAATTTTTTTTAAAGGATTTAATAATCAACCTAAATCTTATTTGATAAATGTTGATGAGAGAAATATAAAAATATCAATTTTATTAAAAATCGATATATTAATAAAAAATTATATCATTTTAAATTTAGTTATTAAATATATTTTGATAATAACTTTCAAAAATTTTTTTTAATATTTATTCTTAATGTATTAAAATTTTATTATAAGAAAGTTTGGCCAAATTTTCCTTACCTTAATCAAAGAACTTTTTTATAGTAAAACCAAAATATTCTTTTTACTTTATTCCCATCAATTCTCTTAAGTTGTATTTAATTCATGAATTTAAAAAATATATATATAAAAATCGTTAACCAAACACAATCTTATTTTGATTACATCTCAGATGATTTAACCCTCAATCAAGATCGGCTCGGACTTTTTCGTCACTCTGAATAACTTATATATCCTTATTTCAAATGCATCTTGTCAAATTGTATCTCATGTTTCAAATGTGTATATATATATATATATATATATTTGGTGGGAGATTTTAATATATTTTTAATATATTAAAAAAATATATTACGACTAATTTTTTTTTAATTATGATATTATTTTAGTCATGATTCGTAAATTTTTTAATTATATCTCATATTATATTTAGTTATGACACTTTTTTTAATTATGACTCAAAAATTAAAATTATGTAATTTTTTTTTTAGTGATAAGGTACCTATAGTAAAAGATGTGCAGAATAGTGTTTTCCATATTTGATTGCGTTTTTTTGAATATATATATGTATATATTATATAAACAATAAGAATATTAGTTTAGTGAAAAAAAAAAATCAAACGCCTTATTATTTACACATATTTATTTTTGTTACACTAACTTCTAATTTTTAAAACTAAATTCATAATGCAAATTGTGAAAATTCATAACTCATAAATTTATTTTTATTTTGTTTTAAAATATAATATACACATTGGGCAACATCATTATATATAAAAATTATGCATAAATTTTTTATTTATATATTTAAAAATAAATAATTCAGATCACCGAATTTGACTCCAAAGTGGGTTCACTAAACCCAACTGCTCTTTCAAATTGAATGGTCAACTTGAAAAAATTCAAATCCATAAAATTTGTATGTATATTGGAAAATGATATAGAAGCTTATTTTTTTGACCAATTTTATAGATTTAATAATGTATAAGTGAGATGATTGATTAGTGAAGATATGAGACAGAATTGCCTAAAATATTTTAATAAATTATTATTTTATTGAGTTTAAAAAATGAGTCTAATTTTTAAAGTGTCTGAGTTGCTTCACCTTTCTATATTTCAATTCTATGTAACTTTGATATATGTGACTGAAAATTTTTATAATACACATCTTTTTAAGATATTATATTTATATTGTTGATTATGATATTATTATTTTAGTTATCATCAAAAAGATATTCAGTTATGCATAGTGTTTAGTTATAATTTATTATTATTTTTTAATTATGACTAAAATATTTGTAATTATACCATTTACAATAATTTAAGGGAAAAATTAACACCACAAATATCCTAATGTCCTAATTTATGCGTAGAGAAATTCTATGGTACAGGGTACGTCCTAATGTCCTAATTAACGCCATTTTTAAGGTGTGTCACGTCATGTGAATTATTGTCCATGAATGGGAAACAATTTTTGTATGAATTGTTTTGAAAAGTTAGTTAAAAATTAATTTTTTGATTTTTTTTACAGTATATAAAAAAATAAAGAGGTGATGTGATTTAAAATAGGTTGAAAGTAAAAAATTGACTTTTAACTATGTTTCTAAATTTGTCCTATCAATAATGGTATAGACCTCCAAAAATACAATTCCACAGCCCAGAAAGAAAAGAAAAGAAAAGAATAAATAAAAACAAATGAATGGTCCATATTAGGCCTAGTTTGGCATCTCTAAAAAAATCTAAAAAGTTATTAAAAAAATTTAAAAGTTATCACTATTCGTAAATTAAAAATATAAAAAAATTAATTTATTACATATTTTAATACAAAGACGTGTTTGGTACTGAGAATTGGCGGAAAGGCTGTCAAAGGGAAAAAAAAATTATTTATTAAATTGAAGGGTAATGTTGAGCCAGTGGGAGCCCACCACGGGTCCCGTTTTGAAGGGTAATGTTGAATGTGTATAACTTGTCGAGTACTATATGTTTGTAAAAAATCACGTTAATCGGATATGGATAACTACATAACTAAATCAGTTTTGTATAAATAATAGATGGTGTTATAGTTAACGGTTGATAAAAAAGTAACATGATCAGATAGTTATCGATATCCAATCAACATGATTTTTTACAAGCATATAATACTCGACGAGTTCTACATATTAACGGTTCTGATTAGCAAAATGAGACCTGGGGTGGGCCCACACAGGCTGAACAACACCGTCCAATTTAAACCCGAAAAGAAGGCAACCATTTTTCATCTCCTAACAGCCAACTACACTGCCTAGATACTGTACTGGCTACTCAATCACTTCTCCTATACACTTATTTATATAATTTTTTAATATACATTTTTTCGTAAAAAGTCAAAAAGTTAACCCAAACATCTATCTTTTTTTCCTCAACTTTTTAGTCAAAAAAGATAAAAAATACATTTATTTAGAACACCCAAACAATCCCTTATTTTGGGGTTCATGAGAATCTCTAATTTTGAGGGTCCCAAGCATTTTTGTTGGTCCTATATCATACCAAGTGACATTATTTTTTCACTAATTATAAACATATGCCTCCGTTTGGCAAGTTAGTTTTGGGGTTTTTTGGGCTAAAATAGTCACAAAAAAAAAGACTTTTTAGTCCAATAAGATAAAATATCACATCTAACTCATAATCATTACATTTTTTTTTTACAAAAAAAATCAAAAAAATCAAAAAAGCCAACTCACTTACCAAACGAGCTCTATATGTTTTAGTGTTCTTCAAATACCTAATAATATAATTTATATTCTATTATTTTCTACCAATCATAATAATTGAAGGTATTACATAAATATATCTATCCACATAAAAAAATGGCTCATGGACTTGATTTTTGATATTCTAACTGTCTCAAAATATTAGTCTCTTATTTTATTTTTTATTGTCTCAAAATATTAGTCTATTTTTAAAAATCAAAGATTAAAATAATATAAAATTTTTATTTTTCTCTTTTTTAAAATTCATTAACAATACAAAGTATAATTATAACAATTAATATTCTTAAAAAAAATACTAACAAAAAGTAATTTTAAAAAATGAATCACTTTGCTTGATTTTGGTTTTCAGAAACACTTTTTAGAAAATTTTACTTTTTTATTTTTTGTATTTTTTTATTTTCACTGAATTTTTAAAAATATTTTAAATTTTTTTTTAATTTTTACACAAATCTAACATAAATACATTTAAAAAGTATAATATTTGTGAAAAAAATTCTTTAAAAAAGTCACTAAATACCAAAAATATAAAAAAAATAAAAATTCAATATATTTTTCATATTTTTTTTATATATTTATTAATTTTTTAATATTTAACTATTTAAATACATATAAATAAGTTACCTATAAAAAAATTATTTAAAAATTTAAAAATATTTACTAAAAATAAAAAAATATAAAAAATAAAAAACTCAAATCCAAATATAAAAAATACAAAACTCAAATCCTAAAAAAACTGAACTCAAACAACTAAAACTCAATCCACTGAATATTTCTAAAATATAATAATTACGCAATAAAAAAATAAAAAAAAGAAGTTAGATTCTTTTGTGGAGAGAATTAGAGAATATTGTAGAACATACACTCCACGTCTCATAAAACAGGGACACGTACTGAGAATTTTGTGAGACAATCGAGAGAGAGAGTGTGAGAGAGATAGAGAGAGCTGCAACACCACCACTCCAAATGGATCTACTGAAACCAAGCCGAGCGAATTCATGTCCTCTAACCCCTTTAACCTTCCTTGAAAGAGCCGCCACCGTCTACGGAGACTGCCCCTCCATCGTATACACCACCACCACCACCACCACCACCTTCACATGGTCACAGACTCACCGCCGGTGCCTCCAACTAGCTTCTTCGCTATCCTCTCTCGGCATCGAGAGAGGCCACGTCATCTCCGTCATAGCCCCCAACACACCCCCCATGTACGAGCTCCACTTCGCCGTCCCCATGTCCGGCGCTATTCTCAACACCCTCAACACCCGCCTCGACTCCCACACCATCTCCGTCCTCCTCCTCCACAGCCAATCCAAACTCCTCTTCTTCGACCACCACTTTCAACCTCTCGTCCTCCGAGCCATCTCCATGTTCCCTCCCAACATTCCATCACCTAAGCTCGTCCTCATCACAGATCACCATGATCATGCCCCATCTCCATCTCCATCTCCATCACTTGATGATGACACTTACGAGGGCTTGGTGGAGAGAGGTGATTCTGGGTTCAACTGGATTCGACCCAAATCCGAATGGGACCCGATTATACTCAATTATACTTCAGGTACCACGTCTTCTCCTAAGGGAGTTGTTCATTGCCACCGTGCCATTTTCATCATGACCCTTGATTCCTTGATCGATTGGTCTGTGCCCAAACAACCCGTGTTCCTCTGGACCCTACCCATGTTCCACTCCAATGGCTGGTGCTTCCCCTGGGCTATGGCCGTCGTCGGCGGAACCAACATCTGCCTCCGCAAAATTGACCCACCCCAAATCTACAACTCAATCAACCAAAACCAAGTCACTCACATGTGCGGCGCTCCAGTGATTCTCAACATGCTATCAAACTGTTCCAATTCGGAGCCTCTCCGGAACCCGGTTCATTTTCTCACCGGCGGTTCTCCGCCGCCGGCCACCTTGCTCCGGCGAGTGGAGTCACTGGGTTTTGTGGTGACTCATGGGTTTGGAATGACGGAGTTGGCCGGAGTGGTGATTTCGTGCGCGTGGAAGAGGAAGTGGAATCGGCTGCCGGCCGAGGAGAGGGCGAGGTTGAAGGCGAGGCAAGGGGTGAGGACGGCGGCGGCGACGACGGAGGTGGACGTGGTGGATCCAGTTTCCGGGAAGAGTGGAACGAGACGGATTGACAGTCGGCGAGATCGTAGTAAGAGGAGGGAGTGTAATGCTGGGTTATCTGAAAGACCCAGAAGCGACTTCAAAATGTTTGAGAGAGAATGGGTGGCTTTACACGGGAGATGTGGCGGTGATGCACCCAGATGGGTATTTGGAGATCAAAGATCGATCCAAAGACATTATCATAACCGGTGGCGAGAATGTGAGTAGTGTGGAGGTTGAGGCGGTGCTGTATTCGCACCCGGCGGTTAACGAGGCGGCGGTGGTGGCGCGGCCGGACGAGTTCTGGGGAGAGACTCCGTGTGCGTTCGTGAGCTTGAAAAAGCAGAATGAGAGGGTGTCGGAGGAGGAGGTGATAGAGTTTTGCAGAGATAGGTTGCCGCATTATATGGTGCCGAGGACGGTGGTGGTGGTGGAGGAAGAGCTTCCGAAGACCTCGACTGGGAAGATTCAGAAAGCTCTGCTAAGAGACAATGCAAAGGCTATGGGTTCGCTGCGACAAGCTGGTCGACTGTGAGGTCCTCCTCAATTTCTTCTCTTGTGATTTGTATGGATATGGTGTTTGCATGTCTGTTAGTTTTGAGTTTTTCAATCTAGTTTTTGATTTTATATATCTGTAAGAGAAATGTTAGGAATTATAAATTTTTTTTTATAAAAATGATCATGAAAAGATTGTGACTCTTAAATTTTCTTGATTATAAATTGTATCAGTAATGGTATCAATTTAGATTTGAGAAAAGTCAGGATCATAAATTTTTTTTCATAAAAATGATCATGAAAGATTTATAATCTTTAGATTACCTTGATCAGTGTATGCTACTTTATTCTAAGTATAATTCAAGAGTTACAAAATTTTTATAATTACTTTCATAAATTTTTTTTCATGATATTTAATATTGCTGTTCAGATTTATCAATTAAAAAATTATTTGGTATTATCTATATGTTTCTCCTTTCCTTTCGTTTCAAAATAATAATTTTTTTAAGAATTCAACTTATGTTAATAGTATAATTATTATATTTTAAAAATATTAATTTTATAAAATTATCCTTTAATAATATTTTTTTTTATAAATATCAATAATCATAATTATATTTTTTGTGTTATTAATAAATTTAAAAAAAAAATAAAATAAGAAATTCATATTATTTTAGTTCTTGATTTTTGAAGAGAAACTAATATTTTGGGATAATAAAAATAAGAATAAAGGACTAATATTCTGAGACAGATAGAATAAATTTATTATATATATAAAATTCATATTTGGTATTATCATCTTTATGTTAAATTTAATCACTCGTCTAAAGAAAAGTTTTAAAATTTTAAGTGAAGTTTAATAAAATCATAAGTATAATTCATTGACTATTAACTTAAGTCTATTGAAGTGATATCTTATTGATTCGTAAGTCATGTTTAATTAAGTCGTAAGTAGAATTTGATTGAGTAATAACTAAAATCTAATAGAGTAGTACGTGAAAATTCATTAAGTTCATGCTGTTAATGAAAATTTTCTTTACCGATCAAAAAAAAAAAAAAAAAAAGTGAAAATTCATTAAGTAGTAAGTCAGATTTAATTGAGTAGTAAGTAAAATTAAATGAAGTAATAAGTGAAAATCAATTGAGTAGTAAGTGAAATCTTGTGCAATAGTAAGTAGAAACTCATTAGTGTACTTTTTGAGTTTTTATGATATATGGATTGAATATAGATTGAGTTTGAAGTGATGTAGTAGAGAGATAATGTGACTTAAATAAGATAATATAATTTAAATAAAATAATAATTTTTTAATTTTTTTATATTATGACAAATAAAGGCTAAACATCTTATAAGAGTGTAAGATTCATATAATATAAATTTTATGTGAGTTCATATTTGTGTGAGTTATTTAATAAAATTTTTAACCTTTAAAGAAAAAAAAAGAATATTCAAAGACTGATATTAATTTATGTATGATCATGAATACCGTCATTTGCGGTCCACTAACAACATATATCACGTGTACGTGTGGTAGTACTTCTTTTAGTGTGACGTGTGCAATTCGATGATACAATGACGTTTGCAATCAATCAGGCAATCAAGCATTTCTTCTTTTTTTCTTTTTATTATTTTTTTTTATTATTTTAAACAGAGCAATCAATCATTTCAAAGCAATCAATTTCATATCACAAGTGCGCCACTCTAATAAAAAATTTCAACTCCGCTACGTGCTCTAATGGGTAACGGCTCGAATCTTCCGAAATTTTAAAATGACGTTATTTTAGGATTTTTTTTTTCTTTTTCTTTTATGAGTAATGATTCATCTCCTTTTTTCTCCATCATTTTTGACGCCCTCTCTCTCTCATTGGTTACCTTTTCTTTTTTTTTTTTTTTTTTCCTGCTCCACCAATCACCTCCTGCCATATGGCAAAGGGGATGAGGGGGTGACCCCCAAAAGGGGATCCCAAGCATTATTCTTCTTTTATTTAAAGAGGAGAGAAGAGAAGAGAAGAGAAAGAGTCTGAAAAAGAAAAAGAAGCCTCGAAACCCAATCAACAATAACAAAATTTTTTCCCCCGAGTGTATTTTTTGGAACCTGATTCAACCACAAAATTGATTTGATTCAACCACAAAATTGAACACAAAATCAAAATCAAACCCATCTATCCAAAAATCAAACCTAATCAACAACAACAACAACAGATCTGATCACCCACAGATCAGAGCCAGGAAAAAAAGAAAAAGAAAAAAAGGAGCAACAACAATAGATCATCTGATCACCCACAGATTTGGATCATCATCATCAACAACAACATCTTCATCAACATCACCATCATCAACACATCATCTTCATCACCGTCCATCACCGTGTCTGAACCTCCATCACTATCCACCGTCGCACCCTCCATCACCGTCGCACCACCCCGTCATTACCGTCGCCTCTCTCTCTATTTCCGTCTGTCTTCCCCCATCCTCTCTCTTTCTCCATCTCTCTCTCTCTTTCCTGTTCAGATATAAACGAGGAAGAAAAAGAAAAAGAAAAAGAAAAAGAAAAAATTGTCAAAACGACGTTGTTTTAGCAATTCGGGCTATTCGGGGGAAATTTTTTCGAGCTATAAAACATTTTTCTAAAAAATGTAAGAACTTTTTTTTTTTTTTTCCACCCCTTCGACCAACCTTCTCTCTTTCATTGGTGAGATTTTCTCTCTTTTTTTTTTCTTTTCTTTTTTTTTTTTTTTTTCAATCACCACCCGCCACGTGCGTATGGGGTGGTGGAGGTGATGATTGGAAGGGGTCTCCATCACTCCTCCACTCTAATTGTGATTGGCTAATTATTATTATTTTTCCTTCAATCACCAGCCCCTACGTGTGTGTGGGGTGGCAGCGGTGGTGATTGGAGGGGGTCTCAATCACTTCTCGTCTTATATTGAGATGAAGACTGGACTTGTCCATATGAATGGCAATGGGGCGGGGCGGGGCCGGGGATCACACTCTCCGTCCCCGATCCCCGACGGGGACCCTAAATCCACTTCCACCCCCGCCACCTAATGGGGATCGGGCTTCCCCGACCCCAAAAATTCCCCGAACAAAAAAAAAAGTTAGATCCAACCCATTAACAGATTTGATGAGATGAGCCCAAAAAAAAAAAAAAAAAAAAAAAATTAAGATCAAAAAAATTTTTTTTTAATAATGTTGAGTCAAGTCCTTTGCCCTTTCTCTACAGCATCTGAAGATTTCGCTACCAAGGATGTGCCTACCTGTGCTTTCTCTTCAAGCCAAGTAGGCACTCGCTAGGAAAAACATGATTGAAGACATCAGCAGGGGCTAAGATTGAGAGAGAGAGAGAGAGAGAGAGAGAGAGAGAGAGAGAGAGAGAGAGAGAATATTCCAGATCTAGGGTGAGGGTCGCGGTGGAGATTCGCGAAGCTTGGCCTCACCGTCGGATCGGCAAAGCTAGGTTGGTGATGGTGGCGGTGATTCGGCAAGCTTGGAGATCGGCGGTGGGAGAGACGGTGGAGTTGTGGAAAGATGGAGATCGGCGGTGGGAGAGACAGTGGAGTTGTGGGAGGATGGAGGTTGGCGGTGGGAGGAGGGAGATCGGCGGTGGGAGATGGAGATCGGCCGAAGGTTTTAGAGAGAGGGACACCGAGAGAGAGGTAAGGCTTGTGTGAGTGTGAGGTTGAGGTGAGGCCTGTGTGAGTGAGCTGTGAAAGGATTGATTTATATATATATATATATATATATGAGGGGTAAAATGGTAATTTTGCTTTGGGGAAAATTCGAGGCCGGGGACGGGGACGGGCCGGGGCTTGAACACTGATCGCTGTCCCCAGCCCGAAACTGATCGGGGTTTTAATTTTGAATACCATCCCTATTCGTACGAGGGTATTTTTCAAGGAAAAACCATTCTCATCGGGGTCGGGGGATCGGGTCCTCGTCGGGCCGGGTTTAAATTGCCATCCCTACTTGTCCAGTTTAATTTATGGGTTTATTTTTGAATCTCGTTGCGATAATTTGAATCGTTGAATATGTACAACTTATCAAGTATTATATTCTTGTAAAAAATTACATTGATCGGATATTAATAATTATTTGATCGGATTAAAATTCTGTCAACTTTTTATTTTTTCATAGTTCATTTTTTTAATACAAATCTAATACGATTAAATAGCTATTAATATCCGAGCAACATAATTTTTTACATAGATATAGTACTCGACGAATTCTACATATTGAACGATTTAAATTATTAGAAACAAGGCCCAAAAATGAATCCATAGGCCGAACTAGACAAATCCAATCTTAATCTCAACATGAGACAAGCTGAACCCTAAAAAAAAATGTTTCCTCGCTCTAAAATCTCAATTGAAAGGTGTAAAATTCATTATTATGAATGTTTTTTATAATTTGAATTATTTATTTTTAAAATTTTTTATATGTATGGGGCATTTTGACAACACATGGGTGATTTGGGAAATTGGTTAAAAGTTAATTTTTTAATTTTTTTTGTCCTTTTGTATGTAAAAAATATGAGAGGTGATGTGAGGAAACTTCTATGTCCACACATCTATTTATCTCTATGCACACACTTAACGAAATATTATTTTAATAATAATTACACGTTAAAGCAAAATTACTATAATGGATATCAAAATACAGTCCCTAATATGGTGATGATAGTGGTAGTGATGGCGTGGCGGTGTTTGAGCGGCAATTAGTTATGGTGATGGTAGTGATAGTGAGTCCCCATCTATCTATCTATTTATCTCTCTCTCTCTCTTTCCATTTTCTTTCTCATTTTCTTTCAATTCTCTATCTTCTTCTTCTTCTTACGAGTCAGTTTCATTTTTCACAATTTTTTCTACCCATTCTAGATGTTTGAAATCAATAGAAGTGACCACCAAACCGAGTTATTTAACTCGATCAATTTCGAAGTGCAATTCGATCAACAACAAATGACTGGTTTTGTAACCCGAATGAGTCAGTTCGGTTGACGGACCTGAGTCGAGCTAACTGTGAACATCCTTAATCACAAGCATATCTAACCAATGCCATTTGATCATTAGACATCAAATGAAAGTTTTTCTTTGTCCACTCATTTATTGGCAAGGTTATCTAGGAAAAATATTCATTATCCTAATTTTATCTCCCAATTTCGTCCTCAATGATGTGATATTAGGGGAGCTAAAGATGAGATAGAAGAATATAGGACCGCTTTACATAGGTCTTAACCACCTCATTTGGGACAAAATTGGTGGGCCTCAATTGGGAAAATGTAGCATATCTTAGTTATCCTGTGGTTGGGGGCATCATTAACTATTGTCTTAGCGAGGAGAAGTTATTTGGTGGTCCTGGGATAC